GGAGGGGGAGGGGAGGCTTCCAGCAGCAGCTTTTGGGGGGGCTGCCTCAGGTAAGCAGCCCCAAGTCTTGCAGTTACCTTTCCCCAACTCCCTCTCACCTTTCGGATAACCTGCATCTTCCTGACCTTCACGGCCAAGGTCAAAGGCAGCACTGACATGCCCATCAGCCTTCCCACCGTCCACACACATCCTCTTCCTCTGCCATAATATGCCTCATGAACTGTTTCCTGGAGGAAGCAGGCAGGAGGGTGGGGAGTGGGAGAGAAAATGTGTGTTAGAGCACCCTCGGTGAGCAGGAGCGTGATGTTTAATTATAGACCATGGCCCAGCGGCGTGGCTCAGTGGTTGAGCGTCGACCTATGAATCGGAAGGTCGTGGTTCGATCCCCGGTCAGGGCACATGCCCAGTTTGCGGGCTCGATCCCCCAGTAGGGGGTGTGCAGGAGGCCGCCGATCCATGATTCTCTCTCATCATTGATGTTTCTAACTCTCTCCCTCTGCCTTCCTCTCTGTCATCAATTTAAAAAATATATTAAAAAATATTAAGAAATAGGATCCCCACCCCCCTTAGAAAATTTTAGCAGGAAGCCATTTACGTAAGCAAACCGAAGTACCGCTGGTCTGTTTTGAGGAGGGTTGGGGGACCTGCCCTGGCCCACCCCCAATCTTCCAGCCCACCCCAAACAGTGTCGGGAACCTCCCATTTTCCCTCGCAGAGAAGCCCTGTGTTCCTCCCAAATGTTCTAGAGTCTTCCACGTTGCTGACCCCAGTGACCCTCATTTCATCCACCCTTTGCCTCTTTATTTATATTCGCTCTCCCTCCGTGCGATGCAGGTCCTCTTGTCAGGTTTTAGATAAGTATGGGCTTTAGCAAAACTCCCCAAGCTATTCCCAGAGAAAGATCGACTGATGTCAGGTGATGGGGAGGTGGGGGGTGGGATGGCTATTTCCGATGTTAGTAAACATGACCGCTTACTGAGGATTAACAGGAAATCATGAATAAAGTCACTGGGATTTGATAAGGGTTTTGTTTTTTTTTTCTCTCCGATACTTAAAGATTTTTCCCCCCCATTATCCCCCCTCATCCCTCCAAAAAGTATGAAGGTCGTTAGGATAGAACGTACCCTTATACAGATATAAACAAAGTCCTTCATCTCCCACGTGGCGCCTCCGGGCACTGTTTTAGCCAATCTGGCATCTTCTCAGTGGGCGATTCTTCCCCTTAACACAGTGGTTCTCAACCTTCTGGCCCTTTAAATACAGTTCCTCACGTTGTGACCCAACCATAAAATTATTTTCGTTGCTACTTCATCACTGTAATGTTGCTACTGTGATGAATCGTCATGTAAATATCTGATATGCAGGATGGTCTTAGGCGACCCCTGTGAAAGGGTCGTTCGAGCGCCAAAGGGGTCGCGACCCACAGGTTGAGAACCGCTGCTTTAATACCTCCCACTTAATCTTCCGTTTTCTTTTAAACGTCAGCTACCGGACAGGCTGGGCCTCATGTAGGCGGCCAAGAGCTCAGAGCGCGTTGTGGCCAGGACGGGCCCAAGAGAAGGAGGTTTCTGATGCGGTAGAATAATTCATTCAAGGAGGAATGAAGGCGATGGGAACCTTCCCCGAACAGATCACGAGTGAATAAAGCTCATCTCTCTCAGGGCAGGGTCCTGGCTGAATGGAATGTCGAAAAGCGTAAAAAAAAATAAAAAAGGAAAACCAACTGAAGAAATGGGTCAAAAGTCTCAGAGGGGCTTCGTCAGGCCTGACCATTTAGAATTTGACAAACGAGCAGGAATGAAAGAGAGAGAGAGAGAGAGAGAGAGACTGAGAAAGATTTATTAATATGAGAAAACCCTTCTGGAATAAAGCACTGAATTTTCAGGTTATGTTTTCACTCCTGTGCACTTATGTGGTCTGAGGGAAGGGTCTGAAATTCATGCTTATCTGATTCAGCTCAGGGGATCTTTCCTAAACACTTGGCTAGAAGCATGTATTGTCTCTCTCTCTTTTTTTAATAGAGAGAGAGGGAGAGAGAGAGGTGTTGTTCCACTTATTCATGCATTCATTGGCTGATCCTTGTATGTGCGCTGCCCGGGGATTGAACCAATAACCTTGGTGTATCAGGATGATGCTCTAACCCATTGAGCCACCTGGCCAGTGTTCTCCGCTGGACAGTTATTACTATTCCCTTTGTCATTAACAAGTGTCTCCGGTGCCCCCAGGCTTGGTGATGCACATTAATCGCTCGATGTGGTGGCACCGGCCAGTGTTCTCCGCTGGACAGTTATGACCATTCCCTTTGTCATTAACAAGTGTCTCCGGTGCCCCCAGGGGAGCCCGTGACCGACATCGCCTTTTCCCCTTGGTTTCAGAGTCTAACAGCCGCAGGGCGGTGAACAGGGGCTACGTCGCCAGCTTGCTCCGGCTGCATCAGGACTGGCACAACCACGACACGGCCAACAGCTACCTGCCGATCCGCCGGGCACTTCTGCTCTGCCTCAAGCACATTGCCACCCTCCAGTCTGGCAGGGAGGCCTTCCTGGCAGCGCAGGGCATGGAGATCCTCTTCAGTAGCACACAGGTAACCAGCGCGGGAGTCCCCTCTGCGTCAGAGATGGTGATGATGGTGAGGGTGGTTATCATGACCATCAGCATCATGGTTATGATGGTGATGATGATGGTGATGGTGGTGGTTATGATGCTGATGGTGGGGAATAAGACAGGCCCCCAAGGTCTGTGATGGTGAGGGAAGGTGGTGATGGTGATGATGACAGTGATGATGGTGGTTATGATGGTGATGATGATGATGGTGATGATGATGGTGATGGTGGTGGTTATGATGCTGCTGCTGCTGATGGTGATAGTGATGGTGCTTATGATGGTGATGATGCTGATGGTGATGATGATGATGGTAATGATGGTGGTGGTGGTTATGATGCTGATGGTGATGATAATGGTGATGATGATGGTGGTTATGATGGTGATGGTGATGATGATAGTGATGGTGGTGGTTATGATGCTGATGGTGGTGATGATGGTGGTGGTGGTTTGATGATGGTGGTTATGATACTAATGGTTATGGTGGTTATGATGCTGATGATGATGATGGTGGTTATGATGGTGATGATGATGATGGTGATGATGATGGTGGTTATGATGCTGATGGTGATGATAATGATAATGGTGATGGTGGTAATGATGCTGATGATGGTGATGGTGATGGTGGTTATGATGCTGATTGTGATGATGGTGATGATGATGGTGGTTATAATGGTGATGATGATGATGGTGGTGGTGATGGTGGTTATGATGCTGATGGTGATGCTGCTAATGATGGTGATGGTGATGGTGGTGATGATGATGGTGATGGTGATGCTGATGGTGGTGGTGGTTATGATGGTGATGATGATGGTGATGGTGATGATGATAATGACAGTGACAATGAAGGAAGAGGAGGAGGAGAGGTTTGTATTGAGCACTTACAATGGCCTAGGGCTGGCTTCATAGCTCACCACTGCATTTGAAACCAGTGGCCTCACCCGAGGTCCACTTCTGTCCACTACACCAGCGGTTCTCCAAGTTGAGCGCACAGCAGAGTCCCTGGAGGGCTGCCAGGGCCCCTTCCTCAGAGTTACCGATTCCATAGATCAGGGGTGGAGCCTGGGAATTTGCATCCCTAACAGGTTCCTAAGTGATGCTGAGCCTGTTGGTCTGGGCCTCACACTTTGAAAACCAGTGTCCTGAACTGTTTTTTATCTGTGTTTGTGACGTAACCACAAACCCACTGGGCACAAGAGTGACTGAGAAAGAACTATTTTTGAGTCCTTCTCACAGCCTTTGTTTATCATATTGTTCTTTGCCTTTCTGCGGAGGCCCTGAGACACGTTGAGATGGTCATGAGTTTGGAGAAAGGGGTGATAGCAGATTGGCTCTCTGCCGCCTAAGACTGAAGTTCAACATGTTACCTGTGATCAGCTGTCTCCCTCCCCTCTCTTCCGCCTGCCTGCTCAGTTCGCTCTTCTCCCAAATACTCATACTTCCCACTGAGCACTTGAAATCCCCTGGCAAGTCCCAGAGGTGAAAGAGCCTCAACGAATTCATTTTCCACAGAGGCTGTTCCTGCTGTTGGTTCCGGACACCTGCACGGTACCCCTTGAGCACACAGGAGGGGAGATGGCAGTCTTGATTACAGGAAGGCGTTTCCGGTTTGAGAGCTGGCGTACTTTGATCATATTTCAGAGTCATTTGGGTAGCTCGAATTTGTGGCTTAATTTTTGTTAAATGTTTTTCGCATTACGTTCTTTCATGTGGAGCGACGTGTAACGAGGGGCTGAAGATACCGTTATGTGACCTCACTATAACCAGGGGTGGGGAACGTCCGGCCTGTGGGCCGTGTAAGGCCCATAAAATCATTAGGTCTGGCCCTGCCAAGGCATCAGGGGCGAGTTAATGAGACGTTTGACCAAACAGAGCAGGCTAATTTATAAGTTGATCATTCTGTGTGGCCCGCAGATGATGTTATAAATATCCACATGGCCCTGGGCAGAAAAAAGGTTCCCCACCCCTGGCCTAGTCGGTCACCCCACCCGGTGGCGGGCTCTCAGCATCCTACTCCCTACTACCTACTCCCGCGACTCGATGGCCTCAGAAACCCCTTAGGAATGTCCCACGGGAGGCTTACCCTGGTCAGCTTTGTGGGCCAAGTTAGTAGATAAAACATTTACTAAGAGACTGAAGAAAACGGCCATTTCTTTTTTCTTTTTGGCCAAAGAGATAACCAAACTCCTCCCAACTCTCTCTCTCGGTTTAGTAAACTTGTCCTCACATTTGTCACAGTGTCTGAAAAGAAGGGTCTTGTCATGTTTCCTCCATATCAAAAGGTCACATTTGGCCCTAACCGGTTTGGCTCAGTGGATAGAGTTTTCCCTCACATTTGTCACAGTGTCTGAAAGAAGGGTCTTGTCATGTTCCCTCCATATCAAAATGTCACATTTGGCCCTAACTGGTTTGGCTCAGTGGATAGAGCATCGGCCTGTGGACTGAAGGGTCCCAGGTTCGATTCCAGTCAAGGGCATGTACCTGGGTTGCGAGCACATCCCCAGTAGGGGGTGTGCAGGAGGCAGCTGATCGATGTTTCTCTCTCCTCGATGTTTCTAACTCTCTATCCCTCTCCCTTCCTGTCTGTAAAAAATCAATAAAAATATATATTTTTTAAAAGGTCACATCTGCAAAGCCCACTTTTTGTTTGCTGTGGGTGGGTCCCAAGAAGGGGCCACACTGTGGGCTGTGAGAGGCGGCCTGTTATCTCATTTACGTGGGTGGGATTCACTTAGTCTTTTCTCCCGGTTTCCTATTCTATCCTTCTCCTTCATACATTTCTCTCTGGCTAACAGCTGAGAAAGGAGCGTAGGCCTTCCATCCGCTCAGCTCCCCACTCTCTCATTCACAGTGACACCTGGGTGGCTGAAGGAGACGCCCCCTTCCACACTCCCCCGCCCCCCTGCCCAGCCAGCCCGGACAGTGTCTCCCTCAAGGGGCAGTATTCCCCAAAAGGCGTTTCAGTCCGTATTCAGACTAAATTCATCCCAACGGCACGGGAGCCGTGAAAGAGAAATGCAATTTCAGGTCGTGCACACTAGACCCGTGGTCGGCAAACCGCGGCTCGCGAGCCACATGCGGCTCTTTGGCCCCTTGAGTGTGGCTCTTCCACAAAATACCACGTGCTGGAAGAGCCACACTCAAGGGGCCAAAGAGCCGCATGTGGCTCGCGAGCCGCGGTTTGCGGAGCCGCAGTTTGCCGACCACTGCCCTAGACCAAAGCCGCGTCCGTGCCAGACACGATTCTGCACCGCGGTGTTCACAGCAGACGTCCTGCGCTGAGGGTGTTTACTGCCCGGGCCGCCTACCTGTCACCCATGACCTGGAGTCCTGTCGTGGCAAAGGGACGCCACAGACGCTGGAGAAAATGACGCGATCTTCCCTTTGTGCAGAGCTCCCTGGAGGACAGGAGCCTGGAACCCATCACGTCCGTTGCGCTTCAGGTCCTGAGGCAGTGCTACCCCAAGAGCCCCCTTCCCTTGGTCACGGCCAGCAGTGCCTACGCCTTCCCCGCCCCCGGCCACCTCCCGTCGGAACCCCCACGCGTTCTCGCTGAAGGTAAAGTAAGTGGGTGTCTGTGAGCTTTACAGCGAGTTTTTTATTTATTTTTCAAATATATTTGTATCGATTTCAGCGAAGAAGGGAGGGGGAGAGAAAAGATGGGAACATCAATGATGAGAGAGAATCATGGATCGGCTGCCTCCTGCACGCCCCCTACTGGGGATCAAGCCCGCAACCCGGGCATGTGCCCTGACCCGGAATCGGACTGTGACCTCCTGGTCCAGAGGTCGACGCTCAACCACTGAGCCACGCTGGCCGGGCTGGAATCGATACTTTTCCACTGGCTGTGTCTATGGACTTGTGTTTCAAATAAGCTCCTTCATATCAAAATTAGGGAGCCGATCACACTGCAACACGTTTTGCCTGGAGGTGACCTCTAACCTTTGGCAAGGAGTTGCATACATTCTTCTAAGTTGGGTGGGGGAAGCCAGATGGTATGCCGGTGTCATTTTATTCTGCAAAATGAGTGGAGAATAAAATGAGTGGGACAGCAGTGTAGACACCCGACACTGCTCACGGTCTCACAGGCCTTGAGTGAGCCCTGGGGTGCGCGGGGGTAGCGTGCACCCCATCGTGAGCTCCTGATCTGTCAGGGGAAGACATGCTGATCCAAACCCGAGACAAAGGGCGAGCCTCACCCACTTCCCCTCCCTTTCCCCACCCAGAGGACTTTGAAGATGATGGTGACGAAGAAGAGGACAGAGACTCCGATTCTGAAGATGCGAAAGAGGAAGTAGGTACACCAGCCCTTGCTTCTAGCGATCCCCATGTTCGCGGCGGACCAGGGAAGATATCACCGCCGGTCGTCAGCTAATACCAGTGTGAATTTTAAGGGCTCACTTTTGTCTTTCCGCCCAGTGCCTGGCAGATTGTTTTGCTCAATAAATGACAGCTGCTGTTCTTTTTTTTTAAAAAATATATTGTTATTGATTTCAGAGAGGAAGGGAGAGGGAGAAAGAGATAGAACCATCCATGATGAGAGAGAATCATGGATCAGCTGCCTCCTGCACGCCCCCTACTGGGGATCGAGCCCGCAACCTGGGCTTGTGCCCTGACAGGGAATCAAACCGAGACCTCCTGGTTCCTGGGTTGATGCTCAACCACTGAGCCACGTCGGCCAGACTAGGAAAGTGTCTGAACCGTGGTGCTATTGGCATGTGACTGGACAGTTCTTTGTTGAGGGGGCTGTTCCTGGGCAGTGTCTGATGTTTAGCAGCATCCCTGGCCTCCACCCACTAGAT